AGAGGCAGCAGCGCAGATTGTTGGCGACTTGGAAGCCTCAGGCATCGTCGAGCCTGCGGATTCTGAGTACAATGCCGCCATTGTGATGGTGAGGAAGAAAGATGGCTCTTGGCGCCTCTGTATCGATTATCGCTGGCTGAACGAAATCACAGAAAAGTCGCGCTACGCGCCACCATTAATCGGTCGATGCTTCGAGTGCCTCCATGGTATGTCTTGGTTTACCACGCTTGATGCGACATCAGGCTTTTGGCAAGTTGAAGTGCACCCGGACGACCGACACAAGACAGCATTTTCAATCGATGGACAGACACAGAAGCAGTGGGCTCGCATGCCGATGGGCCTCTGCAACAGCGTAGCGACATTCTAACGAGTGATGAATAAAGCGCTAGCGCAGGTACTGTGGACGAGTGCATTTGTGTATGTAGATGACATTGTCATCTTCTTGCGCACCTTCGATGAGCATTGTGGACACATACTCGACGTGTTCCGGCTTCTCCAGGCCGCAAACATCAAGGTGAAGCCAAGCAAGTGCACCTTCTTTGCGCGCAAAATTTCCATTCTCGGCTTCCTTGTCTCCGAGAAAGGCCTTCAAGCTGATCCCAAGAAAGTGGAGAAGATGATCAGCATGCCTAAGCCAACGGACAAGAAAGAAGTAAGGAGCATCTTGGGCCTCTTCCAATACTATAAGCGATTCGTGCCGAGCTATGCCGACTTAGCAAGACCCCTCACCGACCTGACAAAGAAAGAATACCCATTTGTGTGGAGAGACGCCAAGCGGAACGCTCTGCTGACCCTCAAGAAAATAGTTGAAGCTCCTATCTTAGCCTTGCCCAATTTCAAGAAGCCGTTCATTCTCAAGACGGATGCGAGTGGATACGCAGTCAGGGCGATCCTTTGTCAACGAGACGGCAACGGACAGCAGAGGCCGATCCATTACGCGAGTGCCATCCTGGGTATATCTGAGCGCAAGTGGTCAGCCACAGAGAGAGAAGCACATGCCATCTACTACGCGGTCCGTCATTTTCGCCCGTACCTGTTTGGGCAACGATTCGAGCTTGTCTCTGACCATCAAGCTTTGAGAGCGTTGAAATTCGCCCAGGACGGCAATCGCAAGCTGCAGCGGTGGTCTCTCATGCTACAAGACTATGACTTCGTCTTTCGTTATCGGCCTGGAAAGAGACACACCGACGTGGATGCACTCTCGAGACCCTGCGGACAGGAGAACATGGAATGTATTCCTGTCTCGAGCGATACCAATACGTACCAGTTGGGCACCATCAATCTGGAGGCCATGGATGACAGTAAGCTGTTCCACATCGATCAGATCATTGAAACCCAGGATCGATGTGCTGATGTCTCACGAGTGAAAGCCTTCCTGACAGAAAAAGGCAACAACGCAACCAAAGGAGAGCTCGATCAGCTGCATGATGCCATTCCGAAGGCATATTGGTCGAAGCTTTACAACGCTTGCCTACTCGACGGGCTGGTGAGAGTGGTGTCGAAGCATCAAGAGTATGGGCCCGTGTCACTCGTTCCCACATCGCTGCGAGAAGAAGCTATGAAGCTGCACCACAAGCATCTGTTGGCTGGTCACCTGGCGATAGAGAGAGGCTACAAGAGGATGGCGAGAGAGTTTTACTGGCCAGGCATGTACGAGAGCTTTTGAAAGCACATTGAGGCGTGTGCTGCATGTCAGAGCAAACGCAACCTGAAGGCAAACAAGAGACCAACCATACAGATACCACCAACTGAGAGACCATTCCAAAGGGTGGCCATGGACTTCATTGGTCCTCTTCCACCCACAAAAGCTGGCAGTCAGTTTGCCCTCACCGTCCAGGATGAATTCACTAAGTGGCCAGAGGTTGTCACTCTCGGCAAAGCGCCAACAGCTTAAGACACAGTCAAGGCACTCATGGAGGCAGTCGTTGTGAGACATGGTCTGCCGGAGGAGATTCTCACCGACAATGGAAGCCATTTCGTCAATCAGCTGATGCGCGAAGTGACAACGAGGCTGAGAATTAAACACACAACGATAACGCCGATGCATCCACAGGGCAACGGCATGATCGAGCGCTTCAATCGTACTCTGAAAGACAGAATTCGCCCGTATTTAAACAAGAAGCAGACCAACTGGGACAGGGTCATCCCTCTTTTCCTGTATGCGTACCGCACGACGGAGCATGAGTCGACTGGCTTTACGCCATTCAAGATGCTGACCGGGCGCGAGGCAGTCCACCCTGACAGTACCGCACGGCTTGTCGCAATGAATGAGACGGCGGCGAAGACAATCGATCCCGACGATGCCGTCAAGCTGATAGTTGAAGGCATCCAAGCCATCCACAAGGAGGCTCGCAAGAACATGGATAGAGCGAAACAACAAGTGGCTGCTCGTAAGAGCGACCTGCCTGCACCAAGGGAATTCAAACCAGGAGACCGAGTGAGAATTTTCAATGATCACGTGCCAAAGGGCCTTACGAAAAAGCTCATCTCACCTTGGCGAACGGTTGGCATCGTTGAGAGCAAGACAGGGCTCGTCACATACAAGGTGCGTATGTGCGGCGAGAACGTCGCCAAGAACCTGAATGTTGATCGGCTGAAGGCTGCGACATCGTCGTCGGAGCAGCACATGGACGATGAGAGAGCTGTTGAGGTCTCCAGCGGGTTGTTGCGAAGGGATAGAAAGCAGACAGTTTTCAATCAGGACGCATTCCTGACTCCTGACTAAGATGACCTCTTGAAGGACTTTGCTGTCGGGCAAGATCGTGTGCCAGCCGCAAAGAGGGACAGTGAAGGGAAACGTGAAGAAGCTGCTGGTCAAGGCGAGGATGACTCATGCCTGAGAGACATTCAGCCAGACCCACGCTTTGAGAAGGGTGTTGTGCATGAAGTGGAAGCAATTGTCGGCAAGAGGACGCACGAAGGCAAGGTGCAATACAAGCTCAAGTGGCGGTGGTATCCCTTATAACATGCCACCTGGGAAGACGAAAGCAGCCTGAGTTGCAGAGAGCTCGTGCAAGACTATGAGAATCGTGAGAGTGGCTCTGACCTTCGGGACGATTCGCTCCTTCCCGCATTGTATTCCATTGTGAGGATCCGTCACGTCAAGGAGCTCACTCGTGAGCACACTGTCAAGGTGACAAGGCTGGACAAGGATGGCATTGAGCTGCATTATCTGAGAGAACCCACACGAACAAAGCGGTTGAAGAAGCAGACCCTGGTGGGTATGAAGTGCACCATATCGTTGGCTGACTTTCTCCGGTTCTTCCAATGGGAGAAGGAAAGAGATGAGTGCGAGGATGGACTGGAAGCGCCACAGCAGCAGCAGCAGCAGCAGCAGGAGGAGGAGGAGGAGGACAAGCCCCAGTCAATGGACGAATAGAGAAGACGTGTCGGTGTTTCTCAAGGTCTTCCCTGCTCCATTTCGTTGGGTTGCATGCATTTCGTGGGGCCTGGGGGCAGGTTAGGTAGTTTACATGTGGACAGGATTGCATGATAGTGTTTGTCTGCTAGTTGCTTTGCCACAAGAGCACGAGGACTCCCATGCCTTTGAGAAGGGCGCTGCACAGCAGCCGGTCCTCGTCGCCAATTACCAGAACACTGAGGGACGGTCATTGATTGGTTGGGTCGTGCCCAAGGCGAAGCAGGAGTTTGTGCGTAGAATGTGAATGTAGGTGTGCATGTAAGTGTGCTTCTAGGTGTGCATGTCAGTGTGTAAATGATCGGTGAGGCACCATGCGTCACGTGCACCCTGCACGAATAGAATAAGTGCTGCTCGGAACTCAGCACGTGAAGGGAGGGAAATGTTGCAGGGTGCATGAGATGACACGTCAATCATGAGTATGGGAGTGAATCAACGGGTTTCTCGTGCGCATGTCGTAGTGTATATACCGCTGCGCTGATGAAGGGAGGGAAGACTCTGGACCGCCATTGTCGTTCCATCCATCAGTGCGCCGCACTGTCGCTTCTGTCGCTTCCTCTTTTTGTGACTTTGACGTGAAAATGGGTCGATGATGGCCCTTCGTCCCTCCAAAATTCATCCGTTCCTCCGCATGAGTACAGGGGCTTAGGGTAGGGAGAAACGGAAGAAAAGCAATGTGGAAATCCACATTGCTCAAGGCAATGTGGAAATCCACATCGCTCCGGTCCTTTTACCCTACGATGAGCGCGCAGACTGGCAGAGATCGCCTTCTTTTGCTGACCAATCTACGACAAACGAGCGTTCTTTCTTTTGTTTTCCCTTCCAGTGATCATTCTAGTCATTCTTTGTTGTTCTCATCACGATTGGTGGCCATCCCAGTAATCCCTGGCGAGATCTGATAGTGATCTTGCCTCTCACCTTTCTGCTTCCCCTCCAGCACTCCCGTCGTTCCAAACAACCTTCCCTGGCGACTCTCAAGACGAGAGAGAGAGTCGATTCAAATTCTGCGTGGCTGCCGACGCGCCTCACTGATACTGTGATTGACATCGCGTGCGTGTTCGTGTGCGTGACACTGTGTGTGTAGCGTGTGGACAGACCTCTGTGTGTTACAAGTGAAAGCCTCTTCTTCGTGTCTCCAAATTGTCAACCAACGGACAATCACTTCACATATCGTTCTCCACTAGGCACAGCTCGTCTCAAAGACAGCTCATACACAGGCGGCGAGCATTTCCTGGTGCATCTGCCGTGAAGCAACTCGGAGAAGTCCGTGAAGTGACACTTGAGACACTATCATGGCGAGGACACGAAGCGGTGTGAGCACGGAATCAGCACCTCCCGCACGGGCGGAGAGCGCATTGACACGAAAAGGTGCGCTGCAGGTGCTGAAGCGTGGCAAGAAAGCGATGAAGAGACGGACACGGCGTGCGGCGAATGCACGGCGTGGAAGAGACGCTGATGTCTCACCAACATACAATTGCAGTGGCGACACCACCGACATCGTGGTGCTGCCAGATGAAGGACCTGCACTGACACACGAAGCAAGCAGTTCTCATCCAAGCCAGACGCCGTCGCAGGCAGAGTTGAGTGAGCTGCCGTCGAAATTAGACACAGCCCTGAATATACGAAACGACCTACAGAAGCCAGCGGTGTCCATCCAGCCATTTGATGGCAGCGCAAAGCTTACTGTAGAAGCCTTCATCCAAGATGTCCTTGTGAATCAGCAAACGTACAACCTCAATAGCAGACTGATGCAGCAGCATGTAATTGCGGCCATTCGTAGACCAGCCAGGGCAAAAGTGAACGATTGGATATACGCACAATTGCAGGATCCAGAGAGCGCATGGCAAAGTGGAGGTGACGATATGAAGTTTGAGGCCCTTCTTGCCTTCCTGAGAGAAGAGTTTGGTCAGAAGCAGTCTCAGACGCTCGCCGTGGCTCAGCAGATGAAAAGCTGGAAGCAGAAACCCAAACAGCCGTTCGTGGAAGAGTTCGATGAGTTCATCGAACTCTACCAAAAGCCACGTAAGTCTGAACCAGAGGCAGTTGAGCTCTTCATTGATGGGCTCCACGAAGACCTGAGAACCAAGATATATGACAAGGACAGTGACCCTCGGACATTCAGCGTAGTCAAGGAGCTTGGATTGAATGCTGAGGTGGTTCTTCAGCGGACACGCAAACGTGGCACCAGCTACGAGGACGAAAAGAGCGACGCCGAAAGAACAAGACCGTCAAAGTGCGCGCGATATGCAGGAAGCGGCGAGACACGGGGCAAATGGGACGATAATTCCTTCTTCCGTGCCTTAACTGCGGCAATGGGTGCTGTGAAGGATCAGGGCAGCCCAAAGAAAGAAAATAAGGCCGAGACACCAGCATCAGATAGGAAAATGGACCAGTGGGTGAGCAGAGCTCGCTTCCTGGGTAGATGTCATTATTGCGGCATACCTGGACACAGATGGATCAACTGTAGGAAGCGACCAAAGGACTAGAGGCCTTCTCCTCAACAAACGAGAGAGCATGTACTTACAGGGGTAAACACTGCTCCAGTGAAATCTTTCCCTGCTGTCAACCCCCCGCAGCCGGGAAACGGTTGAGTCCTCCATCACAGGGCGTACGAGAGGATGCGGACAAGGCGATTGACGCCCTGAAGAACAGACAAGCACATGTCCACCCTATTTCTATGTCATTTGTGTGTGGTTGTACAGGCGTATTTGAGAGAGACGTGTTGTGTGAGTCGGAAAGGAAGCTATCCACAGTGGAAAGCTCTGGAATGCACGCTGATCGTTCGTCGTTCCCGACGCCAGAGGTTTTCCTGTCTGCTTGCACAGGAGCCGCAAGGGTCCTGGATGAAGAGACGGATGATGTGTCGAGCCTGGGGGCCGTGAGGCCTTCGGATGATGTCGTTCCTGGGTCGGAAGGTCCAAGAGGTGCATTGGCAAAGCGACAGTGCATGACGGCACACCCTGATGCATCAGCGGACAGATGTCACCGTCAGTTGGAGCGGGTTGCGTGTATTGGACAGGGCCCTGAGCTGCCGGTGGTTGATGGGCACCCACCAATGAGAACTGACGAAGGATTGGGGCTGGATGGGGCCAGCTCCGATCAAAACCCCACATGCGGTAGGCGAGAAGGAGGGACGCCTTCTTCGTCGCATGCCATTGCGTGCGGTAGGCAAAGAGAGGGGACGCCTTCTTCTTTGCATGCCGCTACGTCGCTGGGCCCAACAGTGGCTGGAAAGGATATCGATCAGAGAGTGTCTCAGAGTATGTCGGCCTGTGGCAGTGGACAGATGGCTCACGATGAGTGTTTAGTTGTTGGCTCTCCAGGGACGGCTGTGCGGGCACAGTGCTGTGCTGCAACGAGTCGAGACAAAGGGCGCAGTGAGCTTTTGCGAACTGTGCGCTGGCAGACGTATGTGCTGATGAGGGTGAATGGGGTGTTATGCGAGGTGCTTGTTGATACGGGTGCTGACCTCAGTGTGATAAGCCGACGGATGCTGAGGAAGCTGCATGAAGAGGGCAACGGAGAGATAGTCATGAAGCCAATTACGGGTGTGAAGTTGAGCATGCTGCACCACGGTGATGTAGCGATCGACAGCGCCGCTCAAATCGCCCTCTTGCCTAAAGGAGTGGCAGTAGATGAGGGGAGACAGCCTATGAGACCTATCACTGTTGACTTCTGTGTCATTGACGATCCCAAAGCTATCGTCTTGCTTGGAGGAAAGGCGATCCGAGAGGAAAGGGTCATTGTAGATCATCGAGTCGGCAAAGTACGTGTGACCTCGAGACAGGAATGGTAGCCTATGAGCATTCATGAGCCATACGCACACGACACATATGGCGTAAGTGTCACAGCTATAGGTTTTGTTAGATCAAGCTCACCCGGACAGGAACGAAGGAAGCCGAAAACTCAGATCGTCGTCACGGCCAAGACACCCATACCAGCGGGCAAGGAGACATGGGTGCGAGCGCGATTGAGTGGACCTGAAGGACAAATAGGAGAGGTTGCGCGTCTGTTAGAGCATCCAGGGCTCACACACCACCGAGGAGCTTACATTCGGGTAGAGAAGGGTGTGATGGAGGTGACGACAGGCCGTCGTGTATACGTGAAGCTCTACAATCTTTCGGCAAAGAGAGTCATCCTATCAAGGAACCATGTGTTGGGCTGGTTCGTCGCATTCACGGGCCTTGAGGATGCGATCTCCTTATTGCAGCCACCTATGAATGAGACACGGCCTATCGCGGCAGCCAAGTTGGCAGAAACTGACCTTGTACCTGCTGAAATCGATCGAGAGCGACTTGACCACCTTATGGGGACAACGCCAAAGACAGAGGACGTCCGCGGCTACCCAAATGCGGACGGCATCGAGCATGAGATACAGGTCGGCAAAGGCCTGACAGACCAACAGAAGAGACGGGCAGCTCAGGTGATCAAAGACGTACAACGAACAGGCATGTTCTCGCGAGACAAGACTGACCTTGGCCATGTCGATCCGTCTTTTGGTGTCCATCGAATCAACATTAGTGGCATCCCTCCATACATGAAGCCACGGA